AGCGAATTCGGTTGAAAAACGCGCTCAAGAACCCCAAAATACCGAAAATTGGGGGGTACCCTTATATGGGAGCTATGCTCAAACGTGGACCGATATATCCCATCTTCGAACTTGACCTGCCTGCAGACAAAAGACAACGCTATGCAAAATTTCAGCACCCTATCTCAATTCCTTCGGAAGATAGCGTGATTACAACAGACGGACAGACGGACGGACATGGCTAGATCGTCTTAGAATTTTACCCTGATCAAGAATATATATGTGTTACAAACGGAATGACAAAATTAATATACCCTCCATACTATGGTGGAGGGTATAAAAATGGTGAGCGGCATTAAAAGACAGACGAATGCTGTAGTATGATTTTTGTTGATAAGAACTATTGGGGAGAATTATGATACGGAGCATAATGAATTTCGCAATCTTATGCAACTATGATGTTTAGAGAAACATAAAAATTAAAACAGCACACAGCTGTCATTAAAACTTTAGCCGGCGGCAAAAATGTCGTATGCGGCATTGTACTACGGTACAAACAGCCCAAAGCTGTCGGTTGATATTTTGCCGGCGGCTACATAAACATAAGCGGCACTGGACACATTTACATGTAAACAATGTAAATAGTGCAAATAAAATTACATACACCCACACATATGTTTATGTAGCCACCGGTAAATTCCAGTGCTGAATTCCAAAATATGGAAAATTCGCACTGCTCAAACTGGTTTGCTATGACATTGCAAATTTCAGTTTGGTCTAGTCTTTTTTTGATCGTCAAACCGCGAAACAGTGTCCCCCCCCCCCCCCCCCCGTGACAAAGTGCAACAAAAACAGAAACAAAGTGACATTAACAAATAAAGTTTTTTTTTATAGATCCACAAAAAACGACACAGCAGATTCATCAACAACAAACCAAAGTGGGTACAAACAAAGAAACCGCCAGTGAGAGTTGGGCGAAAAATAAATTAAACTTAAATTGGAAAACGAAAAAACTTAAACCTAGTGAACTTAAAAATACCTTAAAATTTACATTAAAATTAATACTTAAATCTACTTAAACTAAAACATGTTAAAATCTAGTTGAATTAAAAATACCTACAATCTAATTGAATTAAAACTAACTAAAATCTACCTGAATTAAATAAAAAAAAACCTAACTGAAAAAACCTACTTATAAAATAATGAATTAAAATCTAATTAAAAGCTGTACATATATATATAAATAACACAATTCTAAACCGACATACATATATAAGTTAAAACATAAATGTACAAAAAAACCAACAAATCGAATAAAAGCCTAAAATGAATTGAAAAAATTAACCTAAATCTTACAAATTAAAAAAAGGCAAGAAAGGTAAAAAGGCGTAAGTGCGAAACATTTGGTCCTTAGCGAGCCGAATATGTGAGGTTAAGGAAAAACTTAACCAAATTCAAAAAAATTATATACATATATATATATATATATATATATATATAATAACAAATTTTTAAACAAAAAAAAAATATTTTTGAACATTTTCTTCGAAAGTCTGGTGGACAGACAGACCCACACATCCATAAATATTTTAACCTACAAATTTTTAAAAAATATTTTTGAACATTTTCTTCGAAAGTCTGGTGGACAGACAGACCCACACATCCATAAATATTTTAACCTACAAATTTTTAAAAAATATTTTTGAAACATTTTTTCAAATCTTGTCTGGTGGACAGACACATACATACAACCTTTTTATTTATTTTTTCTAATCAGGACATCGAACTGATGTCCTATATCTATAACCAACAATAATTTTTGCCTTTCAGCATTTTTAAAGATTTTGTCTTGCATCTGTCAAAGCCCCCGTAGCTTCGAAGATCTCAAGACATAATCATTCTGTGACCCAAAATATTTTTTCTTGCATTTATTGCGGAAATATTTTGCTGGTAAACATTTTTTTCTCCTTCTCAAAGTATAATTGACACAATTCTCTGACCCGGACCTGAGCTAAGCTAGATTTTCTCGTGAAATATTTAAACTTTAACGATTGAACAATTTCTTAAGCGGCTTATATAAAAATATTTGGATTTTTTTTTTTCAAATATATGTTCCTTTATTCTGTTCAAATTGGTTTTCCTTTGTTCAACCATTCATCGTTGAATTTCATTTCGCTAACGTTTCGACGGAAATATTTTGTGAAATTTTGATTATCAAAATTTCTTTAAAAATTTAACCCTCAGACGAATTTAGTCCTTCTCATTGGGCTACTTTCTCTTTTTTTGACACAAATCAAAATCGTTGCAAAGACAAAAGCTCAAAATTCGACATGGACAAAACACTATGCGACAAATTCGCAAATTGCGTAAATGATCTACAGGATTATATTTCCATATTTTCCATAACCAACCCGGATGACACAATACACACATTGGAAACCACTCGAATGGAACTAAACTCAACATGGGACCAGGTCAAAAGGGCTTATGTGGATTGTCGAGACCATGTTCCGGAGAAGGATGAAAAACCCATTGATAAAAACAAATTGAGGAAACACTATATGGAGGCAATGGACTCGTACAAAAAGGCGCTGAGCTCTATAAACTTACAGATTCAAACAACTCTGGACACACAAACACTAGAAAAAACCAAAAGGGAATCAGAGAGGTCACAGAAAGACAAGGAAATGGATTTTACGCCGATATCTCGTCTGCCACCATGTGATACGGATACCTTCAAAGGAGGATATAGCGAATGGCCTACTTTTAGGGATTTATTTTCGGCAATCTATATAAAGAATTCAAAATTAAGCAAGGTCGAAAAATTATTTCACTTGACCCAGAAGACCGCTGGAGAAGCAAGGGAAATTATCAGCAATGTTCCGCTAACTAACGATGGATTTGATTTAGCCTGGAAGAATCTTATTGATCGCTACGAAAATAAAAGGATGCAAGTCAATGAATTGATTAAGACCCTTTTTAATTTGCCTAATGTTTCAACTGACTCAAGTCAAACTATACAGAAGCTGCAGCGCACTGTGAATAGCTGCATTCGGACTTTGGAGACCCTCGATGTCGATGCGAAAGGATGGGATCCTATATTAATATATATTTGTTCGACGAAATTACCCAGAAATTTCCTGGAGGAGTTCGAGAACTCTCTAACGGATTGCAAACTTCTTCCAAAATGGGAACAATTTGATGCTTTTTTGACAAACAAATTCAAGACAATGGAATCGGTGGGGAACATAAAACCGTCCACGTCAAAAAGCAGTCAATCAAAACCATCTGGGAACAACAAACCGAGATTTTTTAACTCTTTTCAAACAAATGTTTCGAAAAATGGCAACAACTCTGGAGGAAAACAAACTCATTACACTCAGCCTCAATCAAATAAGGCACCTAGTCCTCAACAATGCCAATTATGCAAAGCCAATCACTTCATAAGGGATTGCAACGAATTCTTGAAAAAGAATGTGAATGATCGAATTCACTTGGTGAAAACTTCACACTTATGCTACAATTGCTTGTCATCCAACCATGGAGTAAAGGACTGCAAAAGTCGCTTTGGCTGTCGAACTTGTACGATGAGACACCACACTTTGTTACACAAGGGAACGGAAACCCAATCAACAAACACATACCTAGCTCGAGTGGAAGCATAACCTAGTAACAGTGCTGCCACTCTTACAAATCAAATACAGTCCACTACGAATCAAGAATCAACTACTGTCACTACTTTGACCCTTCAGGATACACACGTTGAGACTCAACAATCTGGGGGAACTTTACTTTTTACGGCTATCGTACAAATTGAAGCCAAAGGACAACTTTACGATGCCAGAGCACTCATTGACTCTGGATCACAATCAACATTTATCTCGGAAAAAATGAAGAACCTTTTGAAACTGCCAACTCGCAGCAACTTGATCCATGTAATAGGACTTATATATATATATATATAGTCAATATATATGTACCACATATATATAAATACATATACCGCTACGGGAAGCAATCCGCTTGTTCGCCATATTGACCCAAGCGTCTGCTGGAAATATTTTAACCTCAAAATTTTGAGGAATACTCAATAAAACAAATTTAAACTCAAAATTGAGAAGTTTTTTTGGAATTTTTTTTTTCTTCGAAGGTCTGGTGGACAGACAGACGCATACATCACTAAACATTTTAACCTACAAATTTTTAAACAAAAAAAAAATATTTTTGAACATTTTCTCCGAAAGTCTGGTGGACAGACAGACCCACACATCCATAAATATTTTAACCTAAAAATTTTTAAAAAAATATTTTTGAACATTTTCTTCGAAAGTCTGGTGGACAGACAGACCCACACATCCATAAATATTTTAACCTACAAATTTTTAAAAAATATTTTTGAAACATTTTTTCAAATCTTGTCTGGTGGACAGACACATACATACAACCTTTTTATTTATTTTTTCTAATCAGGACATCGAACTGATGTCCTATATCTATAACCAACAATAATTTTTGCCTTTCAGCATTTTTAAAGATTTTGTCTTGCATCTGTCAAAGCCCCCGTAGCTTCGAAGATCTCAAGACATAATCATTCTGTGACCCAAAATATTTTTTCTTGCATTTATTGCGGAAATATTTTGCTGGTAAACATTTTTTGTTCTCCTTCTCAAAGTATAATTGACACAATTCTCTGACCCGGACCTGAGCTAAGCTAGATTTTCTCGTGAAATATTTAAACTTTAACGATTGAACAATTTCTTAAGCGGCTTATTTAAAAATATTTGGATTTTTTTTCAAATATTTGTTCCTTTATTCTGTTCAAATTGGTTTTCCTTTGTTCAACCATTCATCGTTGAATTTCATTTCGCTAACGTTTCGACGGAAATATTTTGTGAAATTTTGATTATCAAAATTTCTTTAAAAATTTAACCCTCAGACGAATTTAGTCCTTCTCATTGGGCTACTTTCTCTTTTTTGACACAAATCAAAATCGTTGCAAAGACAAAAGCTCAAAATTCGACATGGACAAAACACTATGCGACAAATTCGCAAATTGCGTAAATGATCTACAGGATTATATTTCCATATTTTCCATAACCAACCCGGATGACACAATACACACATTGGAAACCACTCGAATGGAACTAAACTCAACATGGGACCAGGTCAAAAGGGCTTATGTGGATTGTCGAGACCATGTTCCGGAGAAGGATGAAAAACCCATTGATAAAAACAAATTGAGGAAACACTATATGGAGGCAATGGACTCGTACAAAAAGGCGCTGAGCTCTATAAACTTACAGATTCAAACAACTCTGGACACACAGACACTAGAAAAAACCAAAAGGGAATCAGAGAGGTCACAGAAAGACAAGGAAATGGATTTTACGCCGATATCTCGTCTGCCACCATGTGATACGGATACCTTCAAAGGAGGATATAGCGAATGGCCTACTTTTAGGGATTTATTTTCGGCAATCTATATAAAGAATTCAAAATTAAGCAAGGTCGAAAAATTATTTCACTTGACCCAGAAGACCGCTGGAGAAGCAAGGGAAATTATCAGCAATGTTCCGCTAACTAACGATGGATTTGATTTAGCCTGGAAGAATCTTATTGATCGCTACGAAAATAAAAGGATGCAAGTCAATGAATTGATTAAGACCCTTTTTAATTTGCCTAATGTTTCAACTGACTCAAGTCAAACTATACAGAAGCTGCAGCGCACTGTGAATAGCTGCATTCAGACTTTGGAGACCCTCGATGTCGATGCGAAAGGATGGGATCCTATATTAATATATATTTGTTCGACGAAATTACCCAGAAATTTCCTGGAGGAGTTCGAGAACTCTCTAACGGATTGCAAACTTCTTCCAAAATGGGAACAATTTGATGCTTTTTTGACAAACAAATTCAAGACAATGGAATCGGTGGGGAACATAAAACCGTCCACGTCAAAAAGCAGTCAATCAAAACCATCTGGGAACAACAAACCGAGATTTTTTAACTCTTTTCAAACAAATGTTTCGAAAAATGGCAACAACTCTGGAGGAAAACAAACTCATTACACTCAGCCTCAATCAAATAAGGCACCTAGTCCTCAACAATGCCAATTATGCAAAGCCAATCACTTCATAAGGGATTGCAACGAATTCTTGAAAAAGAATGTGAATGATCGAATTCACTTGGTGAAAACTTCACACTTATGCTACAATTGCTTGTCATCCAACCATGGAGTAAAGGACTGCAAAAGTCGCTTTGGCTGTCGAACTTGTACGATGAGACACCACACTTTGTTACACAAGGGAACGGAAACCCAATCAACAAACACATACCTAGCTCGAGTGGAAGCACAACCTAGTAACAGTGCTGCCACTCTTACAAATCAAATACAGTCCACTACGAATCAAGAATCAACTACTGTCACTACTTTGACCCTTCAGGATACACACGTTGAGACTCAACAATCTGGGGGAACTTTACTTTTTACGGCTATCGTACAAATTGAAGCCAAAGGACAACTTTACGATGCCAGAGCACTCATTGACTCTGGATCACAATCAACATTTATCTCGGAAAAAATGAAGAACCTTTTGAAACTGCCAACTCGCAGCAACTTGATCCATGTAACAGGACTTAGTCAATTTGTTTCGGAAACTTCAACGAAGTCTTGCTTATTCACCATGAGATCCAAATACGACCCTAGCTTTAAACTGGAGGTATGGGCTCCAGTTTTACGAACGTTACCTTCGAATCTGCCACCACAAAACTTAGATAAATCACAACTTAGAGACATTACATCATTGGAATTGGCTGACCCGAAATTCTACATCAGTCAACCCATTGACTTACTTATTGGAATGGACATAGGACCATTAATATTCACAATTGGAACACCAATGAAGATATTTGGATCAATTTTGACACAGCAAACCAAATTTGGATGGATTGTTGGAGGACCCATACCAGGAAATACAATACAAAGGAATCAAATTTCATTACTTAGCACCACATCGATTGAGAAGGTACTTACACGTTTTTGGGAGGTGGAAGAGACCCCTAAAAAAGTTTTACGGTCAGAGGAAGACCAATTTTGCGAACGCAATTTTACTGAAACAACCATACGGAATAAGGATGGAAGATATGTGGTGACTCTCCCATTCAAAAAATGCGAAATACTTTTGGATCCGACTCAAACTAAATTTCAAAGGATTCTCTTCAGACAAACACCTGAAGACCCAATTGAAGATTATGAGCTGCTGACAGTTACATTTGGAGTTAATTGCGCACCATATTTGGCACTGAGGACACTTCTAAAACTGGCAGAGGACATACAGGAGGTGTATCCAAGAGCCGCGAATATAATTTTAAACAATTTGTACGTTGATGATGTGC